AGAGAGAAACAGTGTGGCAGGGGAGGGGCAGAGAGAGAGGGAGACACAGAATCTGAACGGGCTCCAGGCTCTGAGCTGTCAGCACAGAGCCCGACGCGGGGCTCGAACCCACCAACCGTGAGATCCTGACCTGAGCTGAAGCGATGCTCAACCGACTGAGGCCCCCAGGCGCCCCTGTTTGTGTTTGTTTTAAAGGCGACAACACTAGAGTCGCAAAGATATCAGGAAGGTTCTGTGTTGAGAATTTTGTCTGCCCAATGATGTAGGAGGCAGGGACCATGTGGGCGTCGGCCCGCTGAGGCCCGTCTGAGTTATGGTGCACCCGTCCCCCTGCTTCGGGGACCCCAGCCACAGGGCGGTTGTCTTGTTACCGATCGCCTTCATTCAGGTGCCGGTGTGACCAGATCTGGGGGAACTGGGTTCTCAGGCCCTGTTATTTCACGTAGCTATAAACTTGGAGGCCATGAGGCAGGTGACGGGTATGAGGAAACGGTGTTAGGCACCTCTGCAGACTCGGCTTTCATGAGGAAGTGCTTTAAGATGGTTCCCTACGGCACTTCTGTGTTGATCGTTACTTGTTCTCGAACTCCCTTAGAATCTGAACAGTCACCGGACGGGCTTTGAACGTTGCTCTTGATCGTGACAGGGTTTGTATGGCTATAAAGTGTGATACCTGCAGGCACTGCTGTGAATTATATAAAATATCGTGATAACGGAGTGAACCGTGTGGGCAAAAATCCCACATCTTGCTGGTGGGGATATCAGAAGGGGTTGGGGTGGCAGGAAACTGTGGGGGCCCCGCCCCTGCGGGTGGCCTCCTGAAGCCTGCACCCCTCACGTTCACATTCACACATGGCTGTGCCCCTCCTGCCCTGGATGCGGGGCCGTTGGCCCATGAGAGCGTTGAGGGGCCGGGCAGGCCGTGCGGGTTCGCTCTGCAGGAGGGCGCTGCCTGCAGTCAGCACACACGCACTCGTCTATCACTCCGCTGCGCAGTGTGCGGTTCAGTGTCTGTGGTCTGAGCAGTTGCGCCAAGCGTTCACGGTCAGGGGCTGGGTGGCAGTCCGGTCTACAGAGACTTTCCCTGCTGCGCCCAGGGGAGGCCTCCCTGCCGGTGGCCTGTGAGGAGACCCGGCGCCCCCAACCAGAATGCCCGTATCGGGGTGAGGGGAGAAGCCCCAAAGATCTGGAAAATGCACGCCACTGCAGGAATTCCCAGTTCGGCTGTGACTCCTCATGCTGGTGTTTGGGACCTGCCACGGGTCCTCGCCGAGCCGCCGGCGGTTTGCCAGAGCCGCTGACTAAATCCCGACTTATCTAGTGGAATATCTGTCGTGTAACTGCGCTCTCTCTCTTTCTAACAGGGAAGATCCTTCAAGAGAGCCTTCGTTCGGACTTCGAGAGTTTACAGCTTCGATTTTACACTCAGCTTTTGACACTTCCTTTAAATTATGTTTTTATTAAGATTATTTTATTACGGGGGAGAGGTATCTGGGAGACTGTGGCTCACATGTCCCATCCTGTGTGCGGGCCCCTACACAGTGCTGCCCGGTGTGGATGCCCCGTGCGGTCCCCAAAGCCCTCGACCGAGGAACAGGGCCTCTGGGCGGGAGCGGAGGATGCACATGCTGGTGGAGCGGCCATCCGTCACCTCGTTTCTCCAGATTGCCTCCTGTCCAGGTGGATCCAAGCGCGTAGCCCCCCTGGAACGCCAGACTGCAGGAAGGGTGCCACGCGGGCCTAGTGTGCACGGAGGGGCGGTTCTGGTGGGTGCGCGCAGCGGCCGGTGCTGGGAGCCCGAGGGCGCCACCCTGTGCTGAGGAGATGCTCGCCGCCCACTGTCGTCTGCAGGGAATGGTTAGTTTGGGGTCACACAGAACAGCAGATGGCCTGTCTTCTTGGAAGCGAGGTTTGTGCATCCCTGTGCTCTGGCCGCACTTCTCTTCCCGGGGCTGGGAGATACTCCTTGCATCAAGGGGTTGCTTTAAAAAAAAAAAAAGAAAAAGAACAAAGAATCTTCTGGGGAAACTGCCTCTAAAACCCTCTCATATACAGACAGCTTTGCTTGAGGGGACTTCTTCCTTCCAGAACGGCGTTCCTACGGCTGAAATGCAATATGGAAAGCTATTTTCTTAATGTGATGTAAGGCTAGGCGCCGCCGTTGCCTGCTCTGTGCTGGCTAGCCCCCGTGTATGCTCTAACTTAAATAAATACTGCGAACAAGCCGTGCTTTGTGATGCCTTCATGTCGCGGCCGGTGGGGAAGGTCTGAGTGTGGCAGCCTGACATGTCCGTGTCACAGGGACTGTCAGCAGCTGGCTCTCCTCCTGTGGGGTGGCCTTCTGTGGACAGGTGATGACAGTTTGTTTAAAAACGGAGAGGTTTTTAAATGTTTAAAAAAACATTTTTTAAAAATGTTTATTTTTGAGAGAGAGAGAGACAGCGTGAGCAGGGGAGGGGCAGAGAGAGAGGGAGATACAGAATCCGAAGCAGGCTCCAGGCTCTGAGCTGTCGACACAGAGCCTGACTTGGGGCTCGAACCCATGAACAGTGAGATCATGACCTGAGCCAAAGTCAGACGTTTAACCAACTGAGCCTCCCAAGGAGCCTTTCTTAATTTTTTTTTAAACACTTATTTATTTTTTGTAGAAACAGAGCTTGAGTGGGGAGGGCCAGAGGGAGAGGGAGACAGGATCCGAAGCAGGATCTGTGCTCAGCACAGAGCCCAACATGGGGCTTGAACCATGAACTGAGAGATCACGACCTGAGCCAGGGTCCGTCGCTTAACCAACTGAGCCACCCAGGGTGCCCCCAGGAGCCTTTTTTAATGGAAAACCAGAATTTCCCCAAAAGGCTTCATATTGAGGTTCTTGGTGTCTAGAGATTCAAAGAAGCACAAGTGCTGCTTGATCATGGGAAAGAGGGGATGGGCATGTGTTTATGGCGGTCTATGGATGGCTCTTTTTTTTTTTTTTTTTTATATTGTCAAGTTGGTTTCCATGTAACACCCAGTGCTCATCCCTACCAGTGCCCTCCTCTACGCCCATCACCCCCCTTCCCCTCTCCCCCACCCCCCTCAGCCCTCACTTTGTTCTCAGCATTCAAGAATCTCTCTTGGTTTGCCCCCCTCCCTCTCCCCAGCTATTTTTCCCCTTCTTCTCCCCCACGGTCCTCCGTTAAGTTCCTCCTAATCCACCTATATGTGCAAACATATGGTATCTGTCCTTCTCTGCCTGACTTACTGCGCTCAGCATAACACCCTCAAGTTCCATCCACGTTGCTACACATGGCCACATTTCATTCTTATTCCCATGTAGTATTCCATTGTATAGATAAACCACATCTTCTTGATCCATTCGTTAGTTGATGGACACTTAGGCTCTTTCCATGGTTTGTCTGTTGTTGAGAGTGCTGCTGTGAACATTGGGGTACATGTGCCCCTATGCATCAGCATTTCTGTATCCCTTGGGTAAATTCCTAGCGGTGCTGTTGCTGGGTCATAGGGGAGTTCTAGTGTTGAACCTCTACACTTTTCCAGAGGGGCTGCACCAGTTTACATTCCCACGAACAGTGTAGGAGGGTGCCCATTTCTCTACATCCTCGCCAGCATCTAGTCGCCTGATTTGTTCATTTTAGCCACTGACCGGCGTGAGGTGGTGTCTGTGGTTTTGATTTGTATTTCCCTGATGACGAGGGATGCTGAGCATCGTTTCATGTGTCTGTTGGCCATCTGGATGTCCTCTTTGGAGAAGTGTCTGTTCATATCTTCTGCCCATTTCTTCACTGGATCATTTGTTTTGGGTGTGGAGTTTGGGGAGTTCCTTACAGATTTTGGATTTTTTTTTAATGTTTATTTTTGAGAAAGAGTGAGCAGGGAAGGGGCCGAGAGAGGGGGACAGGATCCGAAGCAGGCTCTCTGCTGTCAGAGCAGAGCCGGATGCGCGGCTCGAAGCCACGAACCGTGAGATCATGAACTGAGCCGAAGCTGGATGCTTAACTGACTGAGTCACCCAGGTGCCCCAAGGGAAGTGTGTTTTGCAGGCCCTCCTGTGAAATGCCGTCTGACAGGATTCCATGGTTTTCTAGTGGCTCAGACCTAAGTTTAGGCGGCTCCCTGTTTCACCAGCAGATATTTATTTGGCATCCACTGCGTGCCCACCGTGTCTGAGGTTCTGAACGTCACAACCAGGAATGAAACAGACCCAGATCCCTGTCCCCTGGAACATGTATTTTACTGCAGGGGAGGGGACAGCTATAAATAAAAGCTACAGAGTGACTGACAAGTGCGTTGGGGAAAAAGGTTGGGAGCAGGAAAGGGGGAATGGAGGTGTTACTGGAAGTAGGCTGGGTAGTGAATTTCCTTCCCTCTCACTTGGAAGGCAGAGCAGAGAGGAACTAGTCCTGCAGCTCTCTAGGGAAGGAGCATTCCGGGGGTTGGGGGGGAAGCAGCCAGTGCAAAGGCCCTGAAGCAAGTGTGTTCCATGAAATCAGCTGGTGGGTGTAGCCGGAATACAGGAGCAAGGGGCAGGAGGGGTTGGAGGTCAGATGGACCGAACTGCAAACTGTATAGACCACTGTTTGGACTTCAGTCTTGATGAAATGGGGAGTTCTTGAAGGGCTTTGAGCCCAATCAGACACTGGCTTTCTAGTCTCTGGCTCGGCTGGTGGAGATGACAGGGGAAATGGCCAGAGCAGGACTCCTTGCCGGTGGCTGGAGGGTGCAGGGGCCGGTGGGTGCTGGGCAGACAGCATGGGTCTGATGATGACAAGGTGCTCGCACCCCAGGATGAAGATGAAGATGAAGAAACCAAACAGGTAGAAGTTTGCCCCAAGGGACCTGGTCTTTAAGGCAAAGCTGGAATGGATTGCAGCCATCCAGGCCCCACAGCTCCGCTTGAGAGGAGCTCAGGGCTGGCTCCGCCTCCTGGACAGAGGTGGGCTGGGCATGGGGCTCAGGACTCTGCTGCGTCCAGCTGGCTGACTGAATGTTCTAGAAAGAACCACTCTTGCCCCAGGCGCATTTATTAAAGAGCTTTGACAACCACAAGTTCCAGCAAGCGCGGGATGGTGGCTGCAGGGTGGCCTGTTCGCCCCACAGCCACCGTTATTGAGCGTGCCTGGCCATCTGCAGAAGGCTTGCCCCATAGGACACATTCCTTTCGGGTCTGGTCTTGTGGCTGGAGTGACAGACCCCGGGCTGGGCCAAGGGAGCTTCTGAAGAAGTAGGACAGTCCCTTACAGCTCAGCCCTCCAATCGCTCTGGCCAAGTTTTTACCAGTTCTTTCTGGCAGTAAGGTTCCTTGGGGATCGGGCTGAGAGCGGCCTCGCAGATACACAGATGGGGGCCTGCTCGGGATCGGAGTTCGTGTATGTGTGGTTGTTGAAGGGCCAAGGGTGGCCACGCTCCCATCCACCTCTGGACAGCCCGGACGGGTCTTAAGCGAAGGACTGCGACTCCGATAGAAAACTCTGCACCTGCCACGTAGTGCCGGCCGCCCGGGGCCCTCACAGGACGCAGCAGGTGCTGGAGACGGGTCCTTGCTGCTCCAGCTGCTGCCGGAGCTGCTCCTTCTCGGCCGTCAGCACCTTCACCCGCTCCTGCAGCGTGCTCAGCTCAGCCGCCCACTTCTGCGGGGGGTGGGGGGACCCCAGATGCAGAGGCCTGAGGTGATGCCGCCTCGGGCTTGCCCCCTGTACCCGGGGCTGAACTGACAGAGAGGAAGGCAAGCCCCAGAGGGCCTGGGGGGCCTACTCAAGGCCACTGGGGACCACATGGCCCTCCCTGCTTGGTGGGAGCCGGGTTCCTGGCGGTGTCACCACCCCTGACAAGCCAGCCCTGGGGTTTGAGGCAAGCCGCTTGACCTGAGGGGCCTGCCAGCATCGCAGGTGGTGGGGCGGCCTCTGCGGGTTCCAGAAATGGGCCGCCCAGGCACGTCCTTCCCTCTTTCCGCCCCTTGCTCCCTCAGGACTGTCCAGCACTAAGTGCCCCCCATGGTAAGGGCCATCCCCCAAATACAGCCCAGTCCGGTTTTCGGGTCTTAAAACTTCTCACCATTCTCCTCCCCCGGCTCCCCAGCCCATGGCGGTGGAACGTGGGGTGTAGCGGGGTTCAATACCCCACCCCCCGTGCCCCCTGTGTACTTGCGGGTGGTGAGGCACCGAGGAGAACCCGGCGGCATGGCCAGGACTGCTGGCGCGGCCCTGCCCCTCACCTGCTTGCACCACTCCTGGATGGCGCGGACGGACAGCGGGCCTTGGATGCTCCCGTCCCGCCGCAGGAACACCTCCCCCTGGTCCGTCTCGTAGAGCTGCGGCTCAGTCTGCGCCCTGGGGGCGCGCACGCTCAGGCGGATCACCTTGGTGAGGGCGACAGCGACTCTGCCAGGTGCTGCGTCCCCCCGGATCCCACCTTGCTCGCTCTCCGGGGCTCCTGGGGCAGCCTGGTGGGCCTGGGGGCAGGGGGGGCCCGGCCTCTCCTCCGGTCTCTCCCCCTGGCCCCCCTTCGCCCCCACCCCCCGCCCAGCCCTGCTCAGCAGAGCGGAGTGGGGGCAGACAGACCCAGGCTCACCTTGAGGGGGGTGCTGGAGGCCGCGGTGCTGACCACCGGGATGAAGGAGAGCGTGTAGGCGTCGGGGAAGACCTGGGGCTGGAAACCCTGCAGGATGGAGTCCACCAGCAGGCGTACGCGGTCCTCGTCGCGGTGGCTGCAGGGGACGCCCCGCACCAGGCCGCTGTCATCGACGCCCACAAACAGGCTGCCGCCCTCGCTGTTGAGGAAGGCGCACACGTAGCGCCGCAGGTGGTGCTTGAAGGCCAGGCTCAGGTACTCGCCGCCGCCTCGCTTGAACTCCACGCTGCGCGTCTCGCAGCCCAGGAAGGCGCCCTGGAAGAGGCGCTCCTGGCCCAGGATCTCCTGGTGCGCGATGGCGCTGTCAGAGCATGCGCCTCTGGGCTGGTCCTGGGACCTCAGAAGGGCCTGTGCTGGGGGGCTGTTGGCAGGGCTGAGGCTGGGGCTCAGGCCGCTGTCGTCCTCCTGCCGGGGTGAGGGGTGAGAGTAAGGAGCCCCGAGGGACAGGACAAGAGGGACGGGTCGCCTCCTTCCGCCTGGGGCTCAGCCCGCTGGGGCATCCTAAAGCCCTGTCCCAGGGGGGAGGGCCTAACTGCCCACCGTCCTGCAGCCGGTGCCAGAAACCCCGAGTCAAGGGATTTGAACCGCCACTGCTCCTTCCTGCTAGGCTGTGGGATGCATGGGGGGTACAAGGGGCTCTCCTTCCCGGGGGTCGGGAGCCAGAATGCCTGCGGCCAGTCTCTTCCCACTTAGGTTGTAGACAGGCCTCTGAGGCTCGGGACCAAGATCATTCCAGCAGATCACCTCGGCGCCCTGAGGTCCCCTGTGATAGGTCTCTGAATTGAAGGGGGGGGGGGCGGATCCTAGAAACCCACCCCTTCCTGGTCTCCCTGAAATGCCTGCCTGTTGCTTTCTGGACCATTGATCAGTCCTGAATCTCGACCCTCCTCCGGCCCTCCAGAGACCTCGCCCATGGTTTCTGTTCCAGTCTGGGCTCTGTTCATGAGCAGGCTCATGGCCAGCGGCCTAGGGCCTCATCACGGCCCCCTACCTCCTCAAGGCTCCTGCCATCCCATCCACCCTCCTCGCTGCCCCTGGATGCAAGAAGATTCTCACTGCTGCTGTCCCCGGCTCCTTGCTGCCTCCCAGTCCCCCGCAGAGGCTTCTGGGGCTGGGACTGCGGTGTGGGCTGGGGCATGGTGGTGAGGGGCACCCCACCACCGGCCCCGCAGCTCCCAGAGGAGACAGTTTATCAAACACGAGAAACCGCCTCACAGACGTGAAGTCAGGCTCCCAGGTCTCGAAATGTCAGTCACAGAGCTGCTCAGTTCTGCAGCAGTTTAAACACCGCAGTTTTTCTTCCCGAAAGGAAAGGAAAACCACAATCACCTGTCTCACCGAGTGGCCTGCCATAGCCTCGGTGAGTTGACAGCTCCCTCCCATCCCCCACAAAGGCCAACCTTCCCTCCCTCCCCCTGCTTTGGTCTCCCCCCTGGCCCAGCTTTCTTCCTTAGCCCTCCAGCAGCCTTCAACCTTGCCCTCCTGCAAAGGCGCCACTGCCCGTCACCATGCCCCCCTGCCTAGAATGACCTTGCACTCCCCCAATCGGGACTCCAGCACTTCTGTGAATTTGTCCCCACAGCCCTGTGTCCTTCCACAGCTGCAGGCGGCCTGTGTCTGGCTCTGCTCAGAGATGAGGGCTCCTCAAGGTCAGGGCCGAGCCCTTTCCGGCTGCGTTACCGCCTGGCCTGGAGTGGGCACGGACATTGGCCAACTGAATGGACGAGGTGGGGCCGAGGAGAAAACCCCGAAGGCCCAGGCTGGCCCAGGCGCAGAGGATGGACTGTGGAAGGACCCGGGGCGGGGAGGTCCCCGCACTTTGGCCTTTCTCCAAACCCAGGCTGGAGGCGAACTGTGAGGGTCAGTGTGCCTCTGGGAGTCACCTGCCCCTGGCTCCTCAAAGATGCACCTCCCCGCCCCTCCCCACCCCCCACCCCAGGTGAGGCTCTGGGCTTGCAGACCTGGGAGCCCGGGAGCGCCTCCCTTACCTCTCTTCCCCTTGGGGGCCCCCGGCCGTCGCCCAGCACCAGCTCCTTCCCGCGGGCCGCCAGCTCCTTGAGGATCTGGTGCTCCTCCACGGCCGTCTGCAGGCGCCAGGGCAGGGTGGCCAGGCTGTCCCTGTGGGCGCTCACGTGCACCAGCGCGTAGGCCTTCCGCGGCCGCCTCACCACCTCGATGTGCTCCCGCGCCACCGGCAGCTCCAGCCGCTCCAGGGCGTCTCGCAGCAGGCAGGTGAGCACAGGCACTGAGAACTGGGGGTTCAGGTGGCCCACGTAGAGAATGTGCGTGCCGGCCCCCGTCTGCAGGCCGGAGTCCTCTGCCCCGGGGACTTCTTGCTGGGGCTGCGTGCTGGGGGGCTCCATGAGGGGCTCCTGCACCTGGGTTTGCGGGGATCTCTTCCTGGGGGCGTCTGGAGAGGTCTCCCTCGGAAGGGCTTCCGGGCTTCCTTACTGCTCCTCCCAGGGCCTCCCAGGGGACTCAGGGGCTGCAGAGGCTCCTGGGAGGTTCACAGATTGGCAGGGGCTGGGCAGAGCCAGAGACAGGGAGGGAGGGCAGAGGGCCAGCCAGAAGGGGCCTGCCACCCACCCAAGCCCAAGGCCTAGGACAGGAAAGAAGGGAGTCAGCCAGGGCTGAGACAGACAGCAGAGCAGGTGGGTCTGCCGCTCCATTCTACAGAAGGGAAGACTGAGGGGATATGCCCGAAGAGGGGCGAGGGGACCAGAATTCAGGTCCCCGAGGGCCCCACCACCACCCTCCGTAGACCCCAGACGTCCTGTCTTTCCTCCCCAGGCCACAGGCTGGAGGCCTCCCAGAATTTCCTGCACCCCAGGGATCCCCGCTGCTCCCAGGCCCCAGGGAAACCTTTTCAAGGGAGAGGAAGCTTTCACCCGCGGCTCGGAGGACCTGCAGCGGCCACGCTGCAGCATCTCCTGGCCCCGCCTGACCCGAGTGTGAGCCCAGCGGAGGCTCCGAGACGCTGGGCCAGAGGGTTTCCGAGCAGACGCTGTCATGCTGCGGCCACACTGATGAAGGCTGTGGCCCCTCCCCAGAAGAACGGCCTTCGCACACAGACAGCTAGTTTGGGGAGGCTCACGGCCCTTCCTCCTGGTCTAAGACTGACTCCTCTGATTTTGGTCCAGAGAGAGGAAGTGAGGAGGGGCAGAGCTGGGGCCCCTAAAGACGCCCCCTCCCACAGGGCCAGGGGCCTCACCCCTGAGCTGTGCACAGATCGAGCACAGAGCAGCCCTCCACTCACCCCCACACACCCGGCCTCCGCTCTGTGTGGCAGGTACCACCCGCCTGCATCTTTCCAGATTGGATCCTTGAGAGAGTCGGGGCCTGGGGGCTGGCACGGCCCGGGTGGGGGCATTCAGGGCAGATAGGAACAGGAAGGAAAGGGAGGCCTGTGACCCTCATGTCCTGATGGTTCCTGCTGGAGGGTGGGAGGTGCCAGCCCTCATCTCCCACAGACCCCTGACCCCTGGCTGGCAGCTCCCTGGTTAGAGGGGGCACGGAGATCTTGGGGGCTGGGGGGGGGGCAGGGAGAACCGGGACTGCAGGAAGTGGGCGGGGCCTGCAGGCCTACCTCTGTGATCTCACAGGAGCCAACAATGGCTTCCTGGCCAGCCTCAGGCCCCGGGTGGGGACGTCAATCAGGAAAACTTCTGCCCCATTCCCTACCCCCAGGGTAGTGAACACACACCAAGGCTGGGCTGTGTGGCCACGCCTGGGCAGCTCCCAGAGTCCAAGGGCTGAGAACATACTTCCTCCCCTGTAAGTCTCTCCTACTGCCCCCCTTCGCCCCCCCCCCCCCCCCCCCCCCCCCCCGCACCAAGCCATGACCACGCCGGTCCTCTGGTGTCACAAGTCCCCAACTTTCCCTTCATGACCAATCCCAGGCTCCCGCTGAGCACTGATGGCCCAGCTACTCCCAAGATCTTGGATCCGAGTGGACACAGCTGGGTCCAGGCTGCCCCGGCCCCCAGACCCTGCTCCACCCCAGAGATGGAGGTTGCTGTCCCAAGGATCCCTGATAAATAGGTCAAGATTTGCTATTGCTTTTCTTCTTTTTTTCTTAAAAACATTTTTTTTTTTTTTTACATTTATTCATTGTTTGAGAGAGACAGAGAGAGAGCACAAGCAGAGGAGGGGCAGAGAGAGGGGGAGACACAGAATCCAAAGCAGGCTCCGGGCTCTGTCAGCACACAGCCTGATGTGGGGCTTGAACTCATGAAATGAGAGATCATGACCTGAGCCGAAGTTAGTCGCCTAACCAGCTGAGCCACCCAGGGACCCCCGCCATCTCTTTTCAAGGACAGGGTTGGCACCTGCTGTTCAACAGGGGCCAAGACATGGGGTGATACACAGCCTTTATTAATGCAGAAATCTATTCTGGGGGGTGGGGGTCTTTGATAAATGTTTTCATTATGCAAATGTAGGTAGCTAGTTCCCAGGCGGCTTCTAAAGTCCTGAGTAGGGGAGGGCTGGCGAGTCTGGAGGCAGATGGGGAGAGTCTGTGGGGGCAGCTGGCCCCCCTCCCTTCCTTGAGCAGCCATTCTGGAGATGCTAATGGAGTTTTGTTTCCCTAAGGGACTGAGGCAGAAGCTTGGCTGGGGAGGCTGAGAAAGGAGATGGAGGCCCCCAGGGGCAGCGTGAGGCTCTGGAAGGGCCTGGCAGGTGCCCTCCCCATGGACGGCCGTGAACTCTCCATGTTCCCCCCTCCACTTACAGGCCTGTCTAGACTCTGTGGTTGCTTTCCTGGCAACCACACAGCAGGGGCTGTAGCTGCATAAGAAGGCGACGTGGAGTCATGGCCTGGAGAGGCGCCTTGGCGGACGGAACATGTGAACATGGGAACCGGAGAACATGACTTGCTTCTCTAGGGGCCTTGCTATCAGGCGGCCTTCTCCGTGAGGGTCTCCACGCTGATCCACGTGCCCAGGTTCTCCCCTCTGCCTGGGGGTCTCTGTAAACACCTGCGTTACTAATTTCCCTGGGTTTTTAACCACCTTCTGTGAAATGAACATCCGTTCCACTTCCTTTTGGGGGTGTCGGGTAAAAACTGTCATTGTAAGCACTTAATACACTTGCAAAATAATGTTTTAAATACTGAAATGAGCTGCACGGTCACTGGGCTATTTATAGCATCAGGCTTTCAAACAGTGATGATGGTCCTTTGCAGGCGGCCCGGCGAGTGGCAGACACAGGTCTGGGGTTGGAGCATAAGCAGCCACTTGGACTCCCCTCACTGGATGTCTGTGGCCTTACTGACAAACCCTACTTTGCACTAAAGGAAAAAATCCTCTTGAATCTAAAATGAACAGGGTGCAGTGAACCCAAAGATGCAGGGGAGAGGGAGGCTATGGATAAGGCTCTTTCCATGTTATCTGGAGAGTGTCCACTTGGTGGCCCCACATGGCCACGATCCCCGAAACCACATCAAGGTTGGGTGTCTGCCCAGGGAGGCCAGCCGAGGGGCCGAGGCGCAGGGGCACAGGCCAGAATTGAGCTCAGCCGTCATGTGGGAGAGGACGGGATGTCGGGAGAGCAAACTCTGGAACTCGGGGGGAGAAGTGGTGTGGATGCAGCCTTGGCCATCTGGGCCCCACGGCTCTGCAGCCCATCTGGAACCTTCCCCTTGTGTATGGGCATCTGCCTGTTGATTCCCACCCACCTCGACAGGGTCGAGCCCCAGCCACCCACGGGTGTCTTGGGACCGGAGTCTTTGCACTGGGACTTGTCAGCTGTGGGTCGCTGGAAGCAGCTGCCGGGGCCTTGGTGCCGCGGGCCAGGCACGAATGCACAGTATGTGACCCTTGGCTGTCACCATCCCTGGTCTGGAGGTTTCCAGCTGTGAGGCTTCCTGAGAAATTAGGTGACTTAGGGTAAGGAGGCTGCCAAAGGCTGAGGGACGGTGAGGGGAGGGGTGTCTGGGCTCTCCGAGGCGAGAACGTTCTCCAAGGCGTTGTTAGCCTTGCTTGCAGGGAGGAGGGGAAGAGTCACCTTTCAGCTCTTCCTGAGGAGGAAGCATGGCGTCGGTGTGAGGGCAGAAACAGGGTCCGCTCGGATAACCAAAGCCACATCCGCAGATCTCGGGTTGTTTGACAAAGATGTCAACAAGGAGGGTTTCGGAGGTTCCTGCTCAGGACTAATGGCCTGACAATGCAGAGGTGACAGGGACCGTGTGTCCAGCAGCATGTGTGTCTGGGGCTGCCGGAGGCCACCTCAGCTTTTGGGCAGGACTCTGGGCCACTGTCAGAAGGCTTGGCTGCGGGGGTGCCTGGGGAGCTCAGTTAAAGCAGCCGACTCTGGCTCCGGTCCTGGCCTCACGGTGGTGGGTTTGGGCCCCACATCTGGGCTCTCTGCTGTTAGCACCGAGCCCCCTTTGGATCCTTTATCTCTCTCTCCCAGCCCCTCCCCTGCTCTCTCTCAAAAATAAATACATAATATTAAAGACAAAACAAAACAAAAGGCTTGGCTTTGGGAGACAATTTCAAAAGCTCTTGTTTTCAATTCTGACACCAGAAGTTAGGGCTGTAAGAGTGATGGGGTAACGAATCCTCTCACTGCCTCCAGAATCTGCCACATGGGCACCTTTCTAGTTCTGTTCCCCTGGAAGCCAGATAAAAGTGGAAAGGTGACGTGGCTCATGGCGAGAATGGACCCTAACTGTAAATGCTCCGGACTGGCCACAGTCTGGGGCCTCCTCAGGGCCATGACTCAATGGGGCACGCCCCTTGCAGGGACCCAGAAGCGACGCCTATGGAGCAGCTATGCCAATGAACTGGGGGGTTCTCGCTCCCTTGGGGCACAATGCTGCTATGCCAAGGCGAACCCCACTGCCCCCGGATGCGTCCCATCCCTTTGCACTTGAGCTGTCACCTGGATGACGGCGGGCTCTGCCAGGACTACCCCGCTGAAGAGGGCTGCCTCATGCTGTCCTGTGGGCAGGTGACGGTGTCTGACAGCCTTCAAGGTGGATGCCATACTCAGGGCAGCCTGCGGGAGTCTGGACTCTGAACAGTCAGCAGGATCCGAGACAGCGGCTCCCTGGAGGGTGTGACAGGCACCCCTAATTAGCTGTGGAGTTTGGGGCAAGTAACTCTCCAAGCTTTAGTTTCCCACGTGTGGCACAGGAGGAACATGGTAGTTCTAGAGGGCTGTAGAGAGGCTGGAATGAGAAGTAGGACATAAACCACTCGGCTGGGAAAGCGTATGCTCTTGGAGACCAGGGGTGGGTGGGGTGGACGCTGATTTGCTCCCCAAGGGGCAGCCCTGCAGTGGGCCCTGTCTGCCTATGCGTGCTGGCCTTACCTTCAGGCCCCGTGTTGTGGGGAAGGGGCACGTCCCAAAGTTTGTCGTCAGGGTTCAGTAAGGCCTGAGTGCCGTGAACGGATGGCGCAGCCTTCTGCCCCAGCGTCCGGGAGTCTGGGAGGGCAGTCCTGGCCGCGACAGCACGGCAGGGCCCATGGTTAGAACCTCACGGTATACATCAGTCACCATGTCTGCACCAGCCACAGGGAGCGCTGGGAGCTGTCCCCCACCTCACCTCCTCTGAAACCCTCATACCACGTGGGCCCAAAGAAGGGAAATGACCCCGCCCAAAACGTCACAATAAGTAGACTGACTAGGACCTCAGCCTTGGCGTCGATTACTTGGCTTTAAATGCCTGCTTTGGCGCTTCCTCGCTGTGAGCTAGGCTTATGTTTCCTCATCTGTAAAATGGGTTTGCCGTGAAGATTTAACAAGACGATTCTAATTCCTGTGGAGTAGTTTGTGGGGCCCTGGGTGATGGAAGAGTGTCAGCTTTCATGAGGTTTTTCTGAACGGTGCCCCTCTACCTCCTGTGACCCCCACAGAAATGGGGCTCCGGGTGGGCACAACAGGTGCAATGCCAGCTGGGCCAGCCGGCACGGCTCCTGGGCCATGAAGATGGGGAGGAGGAGGACGAACCCAGCCATGGAGACTCTCGGAGCTGCTGACCCAACACTGCTCTTCGCCCCAGCTGCCTTCCTCCTGCTGGCCGGCCACACCAGCGCAGAGCCTTGTGAGGGCAGAGAATGGACCCCATGCCGCCTTCCTAGCAGGCATCTGGCAGGCAGCCTGCTCCTCAGGGACTGCCCTGTCTACATGCCTCATTTAAGGATGCGGGAAGAGGGGCCGAGAAGGGAGCACTCTGCCACTGGAGGTGCAGGGCGCTGTCGACTGATAAAAACCACACTGGCATCTATACTGGTTTTATTTATAAACAAGTTGACATAAAAGAAGGCCAGATGGCAGTGGGGGCAGCTGTGCTGCTGACCTCACAAAGGAAGCATCTGGACAACGGAGAGGGTCCAACCGGACACCAGCCTGGAGACCCTTCTCTCCCATCCACCTTATGGCCTTTGTGGCCTAGAATCACGGGGCCTGACCTTCTCCGGCAGCAGTTCCGGCCAGGGCAGGGGGCTGTGTGGGGGACAGCGTGGGGCAGGGGACTCCCATTCCCACAGATGAGGCCCTGGGCTGCAAAGGGCCCGGCAGAGGCAGAGGGGAAGGTGGCAGGGACTCTCTTCTTCCCAAGCTGAGGGATGCACAGTCAAGGCCAGAACAATCTGTCCATCCCACAGAGAAAGTGCCCGGGGTGACGTGGTCCGAAAAGGGCCCGTGCCTGTCTGGGACCAGGGCAGGGTGGCGTCCGGCCTCCTGAAACCCCGTGTCTGCAGCGGGAGGAGTGTGAGCCGGAGGGCCTGCCCCAGTGCCAGAAACAATAAATTAACAATAAGAAAAGATCTTTTTTAAAAAAAGGTAGAGGTGTGCACCGTGAGTTTGGAGTCGGGCCCTTGCGGGGAGGTGGCAGGAGCTGTGGGGCAATGGGGTGCCACGCCAGGCCCGGCAGGGGGCAGGGGGATTGGGCCCCAGTGTCAATTCAGGGCCCTGTCTTCTAGGGCCTCCGAGGTTGGCCTCTTCCTCCGCCACCTGGAAGGTGTTCAGTCTAAACACCCACCGAGAGGCCAGCGGGCTTGGGAAATAAATACAGAGGGGCCTGAGAGCCGAGGCAGGGCTGAAGGCAAAAGCAGCGCCAGCCCCGGGCCCCACACCCGCCCCTCCTCAGTCCTTCATGGAAGGACTCATCATGGCAGGAAGGGGGAGAGTGGTGGCTCCGCACGGCCTCCTGGGGTCTCGTGGTGGCCCTGAGTCCCACCGAGGCGCCGGGAGCAGGCGGCTGGCTCTCCTTCTGGGGAGAAGAATGCTGACCCTTCGGGCGGACCCGCAGGTGTCTGGGCGCGCCTCCCGGTCAGAACTTGCCCTGCTTCAGCCGATCGATGTGGAAGGAGAGCTTGAGTGCGGGCCCCAGCTTCAGCCCCATGTACTTCATCATCATGTCGCTGCGCAGCAGAAGCAGGGCCTTGCCGTCGATCTCCTGGTGGGGGGGGGGGGGGGGCTCTATCAGAGGCCTGGTGGGTCCCACCACCCAGCTTCTGATGAAGGCCACCCCAGCCTGTGGGGCCCAGCGAGCATGCCGCATGGCTGAAGCCTACCTGCTGCCACTGCCCCCACTTCTACTACAGGGCCCAGTGGGCGGGCTCCCCACAGGAGCTCCCGCTGGCTTCCCTTCCCTGACAGCCAGATGGGTTCCCTGTCTTCCGGGACGCCTCCCTAGTCTTGTGCTCGTCCCCTCTCCCAGACTGGTTTTATACTGGCCCTCAACCGTTACTCCGTGAGTCGTCTTCTTTCCTGCGCACGGGGGCCCCGCTATGCGGGCCAGACCCAGGGCAGGCGCTTGCTGAGCAGCTGTGAGAGCCTCAGGCCTGACTTAAGGGCACCCTGAGACCCACCGGCGTGAAAGAGTGGAATGGTGGATGAAAGGTGGCACATTCGTTCTGAGCACCCACAAGGCAGAACAGTGCCCAGCAGCAGGGGCTGTGGGGAAACGGAGCTGTGCCCAAATCAAAAGTGTGGTCACCGCAGGCGGCTCAGGAGCAGCGCCTGGCTACACAGCCAAATGGTCACTGGAAGGGAAGGTGGAGGTTCCCAAAGAAGCAAGGACACCATGGGGGCCGATGAGGTTGGAGAGGGGGGACTCCCCATCGCGCAGGGGACTCTAGCTTGGGCTGC